TTTTCACATACATACTCTAATGGTAGGCCTGTGAATTACTATAATAAATATCAGGTTTCAAAGCAGCTTTTGAATACATAAGATTTTTACGTATTGACTAATTTGAAGGAGACAGTAAAAGTAACTTTTTTACGATTACATCCTTAATACTTCTCTCACCTAATACAGAATGATTTATATTTAATTACGCATAGATAGCGACGCATTGTGCCACATTTGGCTTTCGCTTTATTACTGGAAATTATTTTCCTTTATTTGTATTATTTTGTCTAAACTTTTTCACTGCTATTGGCCTTCATTCAACTATACTTCTAACTTTCCGATTAAGCTCATTTGATCTCAATTAGTCTATTCACTTTTTTGGTTTAGTCCGTAATGCAACAACTACTTCAGCACCACGTATCCTCGTTAAGTCTTCAAATGGAAATGCAGCATCTCTTTCGCAAACACAATATGCCAGTTCCACAACTGAATTTCGATACCCAACTGCATCAACAACAGGTTCAAGTTCAAGCACCGATGTACACTGACATTCAACAAATCACTCGGATTCCAACTGCCCCATGCACTTTGTCAGGCAGCAACTTCATGTCAGCTATCACCGGAGCTGCTGTTGCCGCAGATGACGCTATGCTTGAACCCACTTCACGACAAGCCAACGAAGCTGCCCGACGCCAGACAGACCGTGGTAGGCCACATCAGGGTGAGAAAAGTCATTCTTTTATTTTAGCCTTATTTGAATATAGTATATAACTCATTTTACGAATGCCGCAATCATGGTATAACGTTACATCTAGATTCACCTTAATCTAACTCTGATTGTTGGTCCAACTCGCTCTTGGGCCGACCTTTGCTTTTTTTATGCATGTTACTTCGTTCTCTTCTTTAGTTTGGAATTACGTCAGCCCAAACATTGTAATTGATCTCGAATTCATGCAAGTGGGTTTGGTTGTATATCAATAAATTTCGTTTAATATTTTACAGGACCTTATACACGTTAGGTTTTTCAGTTTTCTTGATTCCTAATAAACAGTCTCTTAAATACATGTTGGTAATTGCATTAATTACATTTGTCTATTAGAAATTGATCAAAATGTATTGTTCCTTATACCATATTTATTTTATTTTTATGATCGTGCTACTCTTTTTCGTGATAAGAACAGGTTATTAGTTTTTGTCTTGTGCTAGCTCTTGTTGATCTTTTGTTTCGATTTATTCTAAATATTTTCTTCAATCGTTCCACCGAGTGCGATTAACTATTTTTTGCTTGTTAAAAAATGACTGCTTATTAATAGTTATTGCCGCTTCGTTGACAAATTTCTTCTAAATTGATGTGTTCAGATTTCGAAGCTTATATACAGTAAAGCTTATACAGGCATTCTTTTTGAAGGTAAATTAATAATTTTGAGTTGCCTTTTACATATCGTCAACTATGTGCTTTGTTAAATTTAAATTAAAAAACATTGATCTCTTTAGCTATTTCATCCTTTTCCGTATGTATCCGTTTTTTAGTTTGCTTCGTCCTCATCGCTTATAATAGGCATAATCTCTATTTTCGAGATTGAAGTTTTCCTCACTTTACTTCTATTATATTTGGCTAGATTAAAGCTTTTTAGTGTTAGTTCGACTTAGTTTTCGCAACTTGTTTAGAGCAACAGGGAGATCTTGTGCAACACATCTAGTCCCGTTTCATCTACCCTAGTATTCGTGATTATTTCCACCATTGGACCGTTGACTTGGTACGTTCCCAGACATTTTGCTGGTATCGTAAATAAGATGCGCCGTTATTGGAACACAAATAACTTGTGAATTCATTTATTTCCGATAAATTAAAGTGATAGGTGAAGGGCAATTTTCGCTTGTGGGATCTCTTCTTCCCCATGACCTAGCCTCTAGCACTGTATCCCTTTCTCTCATTTCCACTTGATATGTCACATTTACCTATTCACACTATTTTGTCTTCGTTTGCTCTAATGTCGCCTAAGAGTGTGCCGCTTCATCTTGATTTAATGAAGCGTAGCCACCTGCACCAATCTTAGGTGCCGAACGGCGTGGCTTCTAGGAGTGCATTAGCACTCCCCTCTTGTTAGCTGTTCCCTAATACGCATGAAAATCATAGTC